GTTCCGCGCTCGAACAATGCACATTCAGCGAAAGTTCCATTTCTTGCGCGACAATCTGGTGGCTACAGGAGAAGCTGAAATACAATGGGTACCTACGGAGGAAATGGTAGCGGACATTTTTACAAAGGCCTTACCTCGAGAGAAACACTGGAGGTTTATGCGGGCTATGGGTCTTAGGCAGCGCTTGAGTGGGAGTGTCGGAATGCGGTCAGGTGACGTGTCAGATTAGATTAGATTACCTTACCTTCCTGTTATAGTAGACAAGCACTGCCACCTGCCAGCGCTGTAGACAGTGCTGGCTTCGCTCCTTCCTTTCCTCAGTCAGTGATCTTCCCACTAGACTGAGGTATGTTCATCTTCTATTCCCATACTATACTGTACTCATATGGTTCTTAGAGTCCTCTGTACAGGTATAGTCCTAATACAGTCAGTGATCTTCCCACTAGACTGAGAGTCCTCTGTACAGGATCTCTTACTTGTATGAGACCGCGCCCTCACCAATGGTGCAGAATCGAAGGGACTCACCTCAAGTCTACATGGCACACGGCTAACCTTCAGGTGTATATACACTTCTGCAAGGGTAACCAACATGTGTCGTGCGCTGGTGGCAATTAAACAGGATTGATACAAGTCAAAGAGACAGGGTTTATGTACGCGCTGTACTGATGCCCTGTTCTACCTCCAGAATGCACTTCCCACTGGAGGAGTCCGTTCGCCAGTTTCCGAGGGCCCTTCTCCTTGAGGATGCGGAGAGCCTCGACGACTTCAGGGTCGAGTACCTGTGTGTCTCGAATCTCCTGTTCCAGGGTGCTTGTATCCGTGAGTGTGGCCGACAGAAGACGGTAACGGACTTATTTGCGTTCAGGCGCTGCCATCACAGGCCCATTCGAGCGGGTTGGCGCGTCGCTCAAACTGGGGCCTGTGGCGTGGTTTACAGCGCGGAGCATGACTCCTCCAAGGTTCCGCCCTAGGTCCGTACCGTGCACACAGCTGACAGCGTAACATGCGGACCTTTGAACTGCGTGTCTCTTCATTATGATGGAGCCTTCCACAGCGCTGGACCTTGAAGGTGAAACTCTTCATCATGACCACGCCACCACACGTAAATTGACAGATAGGCACTCATCCGGTGCGCTCAGATGAGATGACATTATTGTCTAATGTGCAGACCAGTGGTCTATGAACGGGCTCCACCAGTAAAGCCGGGGTCGGTGGCGGCGTCTCGGGTCTAAGTCCAGGTGTTCATGGCACCGTAACTTTGAACGTCAGGCGACTCGCCTCCGCACCGATTCTAAACACATGATATCCTTTGAAGAATCGCTTTTGGGAAGGGGTTCTCCCTGCATCATTTGATCCTGCGACTCGCTGCGATAGGTTCTTGTGATTGTGAAAAGGCTACGCGGACGTCTCTGCAGTTCCTGGCAACATAGTGCGTGATTAGGTTCTTTGATGAGACTATGCGACTCTATGTACTAAAACTCATTTCATATAGATTACAATCCTTATTATGCGCCCTATGCAGCAACTCCTACCGGGTTCAAGGAGTACTAAGTGGGCTATTGCGTCTGTTTCTCTGGCTATCACAATCCGTGATCGCAACAAGCTACGTTGTTTGCTGTAAGTCTACTACTTCATTCAGCGATTGTTTCATCATACCTCGGAGACTCTCTTCGCGCGAGATGACAACTACTTAATGAACCTCAGGTAAGACGCCCAGATCCTTTTCCCCAAGTCTCCGGGAGTTCCCATTCTGCGCAGTTCACGCAGCTCAACTAGTTTCCGGGAAAAATGCTAGTTCCGCCCCCCTACTTCAAAGGAATGGTTGAAAGTGAGCAGAGATGAAACATGAGGCACATCTGTTCATGGCTGCTAGCTCCACGGTGCCCGGACCGCAAGCTTCAAGGGCTTCGTGTTACATCCCACTAGGGTAAACGGGCCAATGTCTAGATAATATCATTGCTTTACTCGACGTCCAGATGCGTCTATGCGCGCGGCACCAAGAGTATATATAGGCCGAAGTCACTGCAGTCATTGCAGCAAACCCAGCAAGCTTATAGCATTCGTAGCACAGCCAAGTGAACTCCTTCATTGTTGCCCTTCTACTTTGCAAGCTGATGTCGTCCTGTCTTCCATCAGCATGCACTCTAGCGCTCTTATGAAGCTGTCCATGGTCGTCGCCGTCGTGGTCAATATCGCTTCTGTGGTCGCCCTCCCGGAAGCTATGAGTCTTGGAGCCCGTCAGGGGCCAATCGAATGCCTAGCGGAGCCGTGCGACCCTGTCGAAGGTTGTTGCGGGAATGCCGTCTGCACTCCTCATGCGTACCTAGGCCTTCCTGGTGTGAGTGAACGTGTCTTCTTGGCCGTTCTGATTTTGGTATCTCTCTGACGCTACTGGTCCGGACTTTGTATGTATCGCTATAGGTTTGTACCCCCGCAACTTGCGACGTCATTTGTTCTACCACCGCCGACTGCTGCACTGATGTCTATGGGACCACGTTCACCTGCCAGCTTCTCGATGGACAGTCTGTTGGGGTAAGTGTCTTACTACCGTGATCGTGCGCCCTTGCGTCTTGTGTGAGGTCTGACTGATTATTATCTCAGGTCTGCATTCCTCAGTAGATCTGAAGGCACGAGCATATTACCCATGGAGTCAGCAAAATTTGCGTTTGGAGAATCATTCTGACGGTCAAACTGTTGTTGTCGCACTGTAGTATTTACTGAGAAAACCAAGATTTCAATGGTTGAGGCTATATCCGATAATGCGAGCACACCATTGAATGGAGGGATTGCTCAGTTGACTGTTAGATTCCATCCGGAAGCACAACAGGGTTTGCTTGGGCTTGAAGCATGCTATAGATATCTCGGTTACTATCGAAGCTGTTTCTACAGATTGGTGAGAGAAAAATCATGTACAATGGTTTGTAGAGGGCGGCGCAACAGTCGAGTATGCTAGGAAGATAATATGGGAGACGTCTCTAAATCAATATCCTGACTCTCCGATGTCTGGGGTCTCCATTGCATCTGCGAGGGGATCGTATGCATGGGCAACTCTCCATCATGCTCGGCGTACTGGCTGTTCTCCTTGAATTGGAACAGGATGACCTCCGTGTTATGATCATTCTGTATCATTGACGTCTCCTGAATGCTGACTTGAACGTGTCTTAAGGGTATTTCCGGTGCAACGGGGATTGTACCTGCACTGAGATGCGCTTCCCATGGCGAGTGATTCAGTGCCACGATCATGACTATGAGTGTCGGATAAATGACCTGCAATCGATATATCAGCTCATGTCCTGCAATATACTGGCAAGGTAGGAAGATTTTGCCTCACCACAAGAGGTACAAGGGCCCCTTCAATGAAAATGAATAGACAAAGATCCAGCTTGTCGACTCGACCCCTGAGTGGTGTGCTAAATTCTGAGTTTCCGGACTTGAGCTGATACACTGCAACCGGAAGCTAAGAGGGATTGAGTAGGAGTGAGTGATGGGCACAATACCACCACCTTACCCAGATCAAAACATATACAACACCAGACTCTACTAGCAACGCCATGACCTTCTCGACTCGTGTCCGTACCCCGGACCCGGCTAGATGTTTCCGCATAACCTGTCTATGTTTCCTGCGATGACCTTGTGACTCAGGGAGCAAGCGAGCGAGAATAGAAGGTACCATATTACCAGGTTTTGATCCCAATGAAGCACGTCGCAACAGTATTCATAAACAGGGAGAAAACAGTTGCAGCGGATCCCCAGCTGACCCCTGAGAATAGTGACCCTGATGGGTGTGAGATAGCCATCTCCCGCCTACCAACCATCGGGACTACAGGTATCTCCCAAGCACCGCAGATATGAGCCGTGTTCACCACACTCATAGCTGACCGGTAAAGACCCTCAGTAGACATACATTCCTCATGTATCACAACGTACCACTGGTAGCGGCGAGTAGCAGGAAGCCGACCATGTATACTGGGAGGTGTCCTCTCCATAGAACACAAACTCGCCACCAAACGATGGTGTCACCGAGTATTACCTTGAAGTCAATCTGAATCAGTGACCATCTTCAGCGAATTTGGAGAGAATGACCGACGTTAGTTAATAAAGCGCCACTCCCCATACATGTTTGTCTTGTCCATCCTCTGAGACTAAAGGTTGAACTGTGATTCGACGGGAATTTGGTGAAACAGTTATGTGATGATGAGGAGTAGCAGTTGAAATCCAGGGCCTTCAACTTGTCTATAGCGCCGTTGATTGAGGTCGCGACTTGGGAAAGCGTATCTACTGTGTTCACAAGGACGTAAACCCAGTATGTGGCTGCAGAGATATACATGACAACGACTGCCATAAGCATGGCTTTCGATGTGAGTTGGTTGAGGCTCCTTCGGCTGAAATCTGGGTCAGAACATCATTTCTGCCTATAGCCTTGTAAAAGAGTACATACATCAGCATATATGATGCAAAACCCGAGAGTAACGTAAGGCAGCCTATTTGTCTGTCAATACCGAGTCATTTTCATTAGGAGACTAGTCTACCTGTCATCAGGGAGGACAATAATGCGACAAGGACTTGGTCCTTCGTGCTTTGGCCGTCGATATTGAGTAGGTTGTTAGAAGCGTCCTCCACAGATATGCCTATAAATTCCCAATAGTCCAATGCCACTGTCACATTCTCCATCTGATGAGAAGAATACTGTCTGCGCCAGGGCTTAGTTTGGGATCGCAGGCAAGGTTTGGGGGCGAGCGTGTATGAGGGCAGCGGTACCCGTCCAGTCGATGTCGTTATATATCTGAGCGTATATCTTGAACGCCCACCGCTATTAGCGAGAGCCATGCTTGACGCAGAGGCGCTGTGCCGATGTCAGCTTGGTGAGGTAGCCTGAGAGTATTCACAGCTGTCCGAGGTTCAGTGTAATGGTCTGATTTGATTACCATCATTCTAAATCGCCCCAAGGAGTTCATAACCTTGGAATCACCACTATTTCCCATGGATAACGCACAGACATGCATCGCATTAAGGAAAGGTACCGCACTCGAGATGCGAAGGATGTCCTGCGGTCACCGCCACAGTCCTGTTAACAAATCAACTTCATGAACGAGTGGAGCAGGGTATTGTAGTCAATGCATTATATTGACACTCTGGCAGAATCTCGAACACTAATTGTATATAGGCAACACTTCGGTCACTTGTGCAATGAGGCCTACTCATGCGAAGGCGACCAACTCGTAACAAGGCTAATTCTAGGCTTGCAATATGGCAACGAAAGTTTCATCACACTCTCAGGCTGAGAGCGGAGGAATCTTTCCCGACAGCACAGGGTGGGTACTGATAGGTTTCAGCATGGGATGCTGACATGGAGACCGACAGCGTAGGAGCGCCCGAGCAGTGTCGTGCCACCCCAGTGTGATGGCTACCTTTGACCACGGTGAATGATGTGGCAGTGAGCACGGATCGCTTCTAGCCCACGTCCCCTTCGCTCTGATGCGAGCACCATCTGAGCTGCTCACCTCGGCGGGAGTCCCGTTTGAACGAAGTGTCAAGCCCAGGTGGGCATGCCCTACTGATACAGGACAACCTTATACGTACTGTTCGGAGGCATCTCGGATATGCATTGGGCGTCTCAGTTCGAGGACTCTCCCACGCATGCGTGATGAGCGGATTGAGCGATGAGGTCGATGCGTCGTCGCCACTCAGTACTGGGATGGATGATAGTATAGAGAGACGAACGGCAGACAAACGATGTCAGCTTGACCAAAGCCATGCTGTGTGAAAAACGAAGCACAGTCAGTACGTACCTGGATCCCGAGGCCGACATGAAGATCCACGCAGCAAAGCCTAGGGTAAGACTCCATGCCTGTCAACAAGACTGAGATGCCAAGCTCAACTGAGGTGGTACAGCATTGATGGCTGATAAAATCAGGGCAGCAGAAGGGATGGATCATTAACCAGGACGGAAGCACCTGGTAAGTAAGCTTTCCGACGCTCTCGATGCCTGATCGAGCCAAAAGTAGGCGGTTGATCCCGCCGAATGCAGACAGGCCTAGGAGATCCATGCATATGATATCCAGCATATCATTGATACTCGGTGGTACTGCAATGCTACTTTGCTATGATCTCCAAGCAACCTTGACTGATTGGCTTGGCCAGATTGCTCAGGCACAGGTCTCCCAACACAATCACGGGCGAGTCCCGAAGAGGCCTTATGGTATATGAAAATGCGAGAACAGGAATGTCGTGACGCGTGCCTACAACTACAGTAACCCCGTGGAGTGGGGATGTGGTGGAAGCTAAGATAATCACAGTGCCGCACGCCCTGATCTCCACGACGTGGTGATGGGGAGCTTAGAATAGGATCGCGGCAATCTTCTCTCCGATGGTGACTGGAGGTTGTGCGGGCTCCTCCGTCTCCTCGACGGTTGGGATGCCAGTGACGAAGTCCATTTCGTGAGGCTTCCAGACCTTTGTCCGCTTGAAGATCTTCCAACCGAAGTAGAGCACCGCAAAAATCGGGATGTTGATATCTGCGCGCCGCCTGGTCAGTGCCCTCTCGTAGATGACATGGACGCAAAAGCGAATGAGAGGTATGACACATACAAGCGGTGAGGAATCCCGAGGCGTTGAAGTCGAAGAAGACGTTGAACCCGTTGATGAGGATGAAGATTGTGATCCAGAAGATGCCCCAGTACGAGAGCCACGGCTGAAGCCCGCTGTGGTACACGAGCTTCGTCCTGTCTAGGCCCTGCGCCTTGAAACCACGGTCTGAATGCGCAGACGACCATCAGTCGATGAACCCGCACACCCGAAGGACATCAGAAGGACTTACAGAAGAAAACATACGTGATATTCATCGCTAACCAGCCAAAGAACCCCCCGACGGTGGAGAGGTTCACAAACCAGTTGAAGACCGTCTCCGCGCCCGAGCTGACGTTCATGAATGCCAGCAGCGAGAAGCAGCTCGACGCGATAACGGCAGCTAGCGGCAGCCCGTTCTTCGTGCAGTACGTGAACAACCTCGGGGCCTGTCCGCGCAACGCGAGCCCGTACAACACGCGCGATGAGCAGAACAGGAAAGAGTTGCCAGCGGAGAACGCGGAGGTGAAGATGCCTGCGTTGATAATGTGCGGGAGCACCTTGATGCCTGCGCGAGTCATGGCAATCACGTAGGGTGACTCGGCAGCGTTGCCGGTGTCGGACAGTAGGTTAGGATCGTTGAAGGGGACCACCATGCCGGTGACGAGCACGCCGAGCAACTGCGGGAGCGATGCGTGAGCGGTTAATGCATGGGGGGCGGCGGGGGTAGTCGTGGACACACGTAGAATATGAGGATGCGCCAAAACACACGGCGCACGGCCTTGGCGACGTTGCGGCGCGGGCTCGCAGTCTCTGATGCAGCGCTGCAGGCGGCGGTATGAGCGACGCCCCTCCGGTAGAAAATTCATCAAATGGGATAGCACGTACACAGCAACAAGCTCCATACCCTGGAAGGAGAATGCAGCTTGGACGAGCACCGTCAAGATACCGAGGAACTTATCAAGAGACGGCTTTTTAGGAGTAAGGTCGGCGCCATTGAGCGGACCGGGATTCTTCCAGTACTGCGAGAAGTGTCGCAGACGAGCGTGAGCAAGAGAAATGCGCAGGGAAGGTGGATGTGCCATACGTGGAAGCCGAGACGCTGCTGCTTAGGAGCTCCTCCGAGATCGATGACCAGGCCAGTGATGACGAGGATGGTGATCAACAGCACTGTAAAGTCGCGATAGCGGGAGCGACGATAGCGAGTGAGTTAGTCTTGATGTCAGCATTGGCCTTGCTGACCGAAACGCGGTAGTACCGCCTCAGAAGAAAGACTCACGCTTGATGATCGAGAAGATAAACTCAGACTCTCCAAACCACCTCACGCCGAAAATGTTGATCGCGCAGCACAAAACAATGATTACCGCAGTGTAGCCCGCTTGATGGTTCGTCTGCGAAGACCACGACCAATATCCAAAATCAAACCACGATTGGATTTCACTATCAGCTCAACTGGGTTAGGGAAGATGGCATCAATGGAACACGCACGTTATCGTCCCAGAACGTCAGGAGGAGGCCGGCAGCAGTAATTTCCACAGGCACGGATATCGCGTTCGTGTAGAAGTAGTTCCAACTACGAGCACGCGACAGAGGACACCGTCATGAGCCTCGCTGTACCCCGGACGCACTTGCTGACACGCGACTCACCCGACAGCGAAACCGAACGCAGGGTCGACCCAGCGCGCCGCGAAGTGCGGGAACGTACCGGAGATCGGCGCATGCGATGTCATTTCGCCCACCGCGCACAGAGAAGCATACGCGGTCGTGCCGACGAACGCGTAGGCGATGAGCGCACCGAGAGGACCAGCAGCTTGAAGCGCATGACCGGAACCCAAGAACAGACCGGTACCAAGTGTACCAGCGATCTACGTCAAGTCAGTATCCAGATTCGTGGCTCTATAGGCAGAGAGACAAAAAGGAGGTGCGCTTTCGGGAGGTGGATCATGGCCAAAAGGAGTAAGGCGCGCTAGCGAGGCCGCCGTTGGCGCAGAGGAGCGCGCGCGGTAGAGCGGAGAGGGCAAGCAAGAAGGAGGATTGCGGTACTCACAGCGATCATTTGTACATGACGCTGTTTCAGCCTGCGCTGAACGCGATCGAGGTCGGCAGCGTCGAAGTGATACTTGCTGTCGGTCTGCGTCGTGACATAGTCGTGCACGACGCCCTTCTCCAGCGAGCTGGTGCGGTCGGCCTTCTCCCCCAAGGTATCAGACATGGCGACTACGTCTGCGAGGGTTGGGCGGGAGGAAAAGGAAGGACCAAAGGGTCGTGGGCAGCAGCGATGCGCGTCGACACGAAGGGAGGGAAGAACCCGTCCTGGGTATCAGACGACCGGGGGGCAGAGTAGAAGAAGCAGCAGAGAACCCCGCGCAAACTTCATCGACGCGCTAGGCAGATCCGCATGCACGATTTCGTCAGGCACGGTCTAGCAGGGGTGGGACGAAGTGCCAGCGATAAGCACTTCATACAGCATGCCTTGTGAACCGTCGCCACTGATAAGGATCCACAATGGATGATGTGGATCGTTCGTCCAGATCAGCCCTGGATAAGGCAGCTTCAGGGGATGGGGTAGGCTGGTCAAATATGTCGGAACGAAGCCAGATTACATCTTCCGGTCCTGTCTAGTACATATAGCGAACATTTGAGTTGGTTCCGGTGGAGGTACACGAGCCGATCGACTCGTCAGGCTGTTGACAAACGAAACAACCTTGGTGGAGTGTGGATGCAATAACAAAATAGATACCACCCATCCACGCCACCAATTCTCCGCTCATGACTGACCGCTGTGGCTCGTCTGCGAGCATATCACAAGGCATAGAGTCATCAAATGAACCAGGGCTGAGCGCCGAGCGCTGAGCGTGAGGCATGGAAGACTAACCTTGCGAAGACGTACATACCTCCCACACGGTCACTCGTACTCCCACGACGTCTGCCCACCACGTCAGGTATTCCAGCGGCACACGCCGATGCGCTGCTGAAAGACGGACCTTGAGCGTAGTTGATCGTTGTGTCGATATCCGCAGTTGGATGCGCCGTCGCGGCGTTATCAGCCGCCTGCAAACGCCTGCATCAAACTGCAGATGTCCCGACTAGCGAAGACTAGCGACCAGCAGCGGAAAAGCGCCGGAGGCACAACAGTTCCGGCAGAGATTTCATCTACTCGCCACTGGAGTGATGTGGAGATAAGTACGTTGGGTGCGTACAGGGCCGCGGCGAATGTCTTCGGTTCGGAGAGGACAGCGGGTGTCATGGAGATTCTATGTCCGGCTGCTGTCAAGGTGTTCTCGATAGCGTCCTCGAGAACGCGATTTGCTTGGGCTATTCCTGGTAGGCTCGTGAATCAACCGGACCGACCAGTGCATCGTCCATAGATGTGTTTTGGCGCCCGGAACAGATAAGATATGTAAAAGGCGCTGTGAGAGCCAAGTCGTTAACGTTCAAACAGCGTGGCTTTCCTTCAGGGCCATAATCTTGTGATGTCAGCAAATGACTTCTCGTGATTGGCTGATCGATTACGTGCCCGAAGCACGGGTGTGTCTCGCCGCAAACTGAGCGAGTGAGTGGATGACTTCCCATAAGGATCTACGGCTCTGGAGTGTCCGTAGACATATATCGGAGCTCTAATCTGTCCAGAGATCTCGGGCGCTCAATGATCAGGCCGGGATATCCGGAGAGCGTCTAATGCTATGCACGTGCTCTTTTGCGCCTTACATCAGCACCCAATGTAGTAGGCGATTGATCCCAACACAATTTGTAATGATGGCACCTTCCTTTCGAGTCGTTTACGACCTCAAGCGAGCTTCTACGGCTGCGTTTAGGTCTAGAAAGGGGGGTCGACCCCCCCTTCTAGATTTTGGGCGCTTGCAGCATCTACGGACGTCGGCCTCGAAAGCGGAGTACAAATCGGCATCGGCATCTCGGCGGATAGGACACTTTCAGTATCTACGGACGACAAAATGGCCGTAGATCCTTATGGGAAGTCATCCAGTCAGCTTTGCCTTTTGTCTCTGACCTTTTCTTTCTTCTGTGCCTCCTGCTCGTTCGTTCTGCATGTTCAGACTCTGCGAGATGGCGTCTTGAACCTCTGCTTCCGTCACCAACCACGGCAGGGAATCCGATGTTTTCGATTGGAGAAAAGCCGATGAAATGGGGACGCAAAAGGCAACCGCACGTCGTTTTCAATGACTTTTATCCAGAAATGCCACATATTCACGGATTGTTTGCCTCGCGCGTCCCCTTTTTAGAGACTTTTCTCCAGTTGGAAATACCTGAATTCCTGCCGTGAACGCTGCCTCCGACCCCAAGCCAGCCTCGTGTTTTGTACCCCATGACGGCTCCTTCCTGATTTCACAACGAATGCGCTTTCAGTATGTTAGTGTCCCTGTTTGTACCGAGCTCTATAGGGTAGCGCATACAGACCCCAAAGTGAGTCATCGTCAATTTAACGTGTATTTCTGCCCTGACGATATTTGCAGACGAACGTCCGACACGCCTCCAGGATTCAGTGACCGCATTGATGTTCATCATAACATGCGAATCCTGTCGATGTGGATGACGTACCTCGCTAGTGAAGAGTACACGTCGCGTTCTGTACGGTTCGTCGAACCTTCTCTTACTCAGTGCTTGAGAATCGAGATAAAGTCACGATCTGCCGCAGGGCGGTGCTGCCATCTCATGGATGGCGAACCGTCACTGCGGCATATAGTCATGACCTTTGCTTCTGACAATGCATGCTAAGGCGGCGCGCTGGACATTAATCCCGGCATGGATAGCCTTGGCGTCGGCTCCTCATGACGGACTTATCTTGGGTAGACGTCGGAAGTAGTAACTCCAGTGGATTCAAAGGCAAAGCGTTGAGGCCGGCAACGGTCGTGTGCAGAGAGGCGGCAGGGGTACAAAGTGACATCCCGTCAAGGAGGTGCAGTCGCATTACGCCTCAACTCCTGTCGCAATGAAGAGGAAGAGAAAAGGGAAAGGGGAGGAAGCTGACCGCAAGCCTGCTATGCGAGCGTTGCGCAACAGAGCACGTGACCCTCTCGACCAATAACGATGCAGGACAAAGACCTTGAAACTCAGCCTGAAGGAGCCTCGTGGACACAATTTGGCAACACACGTTCTGACTACCTGCATCTCGACTATAACATTGCATCCTCGATATATCTCAGCTCTACGACCAGACGGAACTCACATCTGCTTCCTTGACAGGAAGAAGATGAGAATTGTGCCGCCATCCTTCAATGCCAGCGACCAGAAGCTGCATCTCGAAGTGAGGTGTTCGGATGAGGAATCGCTTTGGCATTCATCGCTGAGTTCATCACAATCCATCGTGCCGCAGTCGTCTTCGAGGCTCATTAGCGTATACACGAGGTACCCAATACTATTCAAGGTATATCGGTCACGATGTCATAGTAGCGGACGCATCAAATCTGTCTTCTCAGCGCTTCAGTCGTCACCTGTCAAGCCAACGAGCACCGATCATGCTGTATCGAGGACAGCGACAGCCTTTAACAGGCTCATAAGTCCAGGGTTCAGCCGTAACCTAGTTGTTTTCATCTCATGCAGATTGGCCTTGTAAGTAAGACCGGCTGCCATTCACAGCACTGAACGTTTAGGCGGTCATGGCCGACGTTCAAGGTTTGATGATGAGTGGCAGAGCTCATAGGCTTAGTCCCTACGACCAGTTGACGCGGACTTCGGTGTCACATTGATGACTATGCATTCTGTCAAGCCGGGAAGGTCGTGAAGTCTGGTAGTTTGACTCCGTCGATACATAGTCTATGTGAGAAAGCTCTATGTGACGAGCGTGAAATTTTGTGACCGGTGTTGTAGAAGGACGTGCCCCTGATACATCAGTCCTTCAGGAAAGATATAATCTACTTCTGGCATCATCGATTCCCGAGCCATTCTTTCGGTGACACTTACTGATAGAACGTGACTCAATCGGAAGGACGAAATGATCAGAGAAGCAGCGTAGAGCGTGGCATTGTGCTTTGATACTAAAGATTTTGCGCCGAAGCACCAGGAAAAGACTGTTACCTTTAACTTCAGTTTCCCTCTGCTCCGGTACATATATCAGGGCTCTCTTCCATTTTGTTCAGAAGCATCACCCCCGTCTTACACCTTCCTACCCCTAGTGACCACACGAGATTGTTCCCATGTCAAACTCGACATTCACCCTTGATCTTCCCTGGGACACTCTCGTAGCTTCAACTTCAGAAGACATAATCAAAATTGTCCTGTCTACTTTACTATATGGTTGTTGAAAGTTGACCAAATCCCTCTATATATCAATCCGACTGAGTTGTTTATCAGTATGCTTCACAACTCTAGTCCTCGTAGCATTTAGGGCTCTTCAAAAGTGAGCCCGCCAATGTATACATCCATACTCCCTACTCGGTTACTCATAGGCTAACATGATTCTGAAGACAATGACATACTCATCGTTTCACAACCGTTGTCCTCGGTTCGACACTCGTTCTCCTCTATTTGCCCACCACAACGGCTTTCATCAACACGATTCTGCAAACACAGGGCAATATTCATACATATGAGGCTATGGCCTTGGAGGCTGTCTGGGAGAGCCGCCCAGCGCGTGGCGCCACCAACATCTATGGATCCTGTGCGAATACAGCGACACTTACAGCCAATGTACGTCCTGATCTTCAGATCAGCCTCCATTCATTTGATACCTTCACGCTTCCTGATAAACTCGGGGCTGTGAAGACAAAGATTAGATCCGACTAGAGTCGAAGCAAGATCTTCAGTCAGTAACGAAAGACTATATTGCAGCAACGAACTGTACCTAGAGTCGAAGCAAGACTACAAAGGTTAAGTAAGTAACTACAAGTTAGAGGTAGAGGTAATGAAGTACTCACTCTTCAGTCAGTAACGAAAGACTGAAGAGGGAGGACGCAATCTGAAGTCCTTATATACTACAGAGAAGAGTCCATGACTAATCAAAGAGTGGTTAGTCACATGTACCATAGTGCGATGAATAATACAACGATGAAAGAATTGCGACGTATCGCACCATAGGATGAGTAAGAGATGAGTAAGGCATAGACCTGTCTAGACCGTTCTGGAGTAGTACGGATTGTCCTAGACAGTACCAGAAGAGTCCAGAAGCATAGCTATAGTACACGAGCAGAGAGTCCTAAGAGATCCTGTACAGAGGACTCTCAGTCTAGTGGGAAGATCACTGACTGAATTAGGACTATACCTGTACAGAGGACTCTAAGAACCATATGAGTACAGTATAGTATGGGAATAGAAGATGAACATACCTCAGTCTAGTGGGA